GAAAATCTGTTGTACTGATCATATGGTGGCTTTTTAACGGTGCTTATTGAGATGCTATTGTTCAGGAATTAACCGGGTTTTACGTGACAAAAGTATCTGATTTTATCGAAAACGGAATAGAGGCACTGTTTTTACTACATATGGATCCATTTTTAGTCAAAAAAGAGAGTGGGCTGATTCCCGACCTTATGCGGCCCCCTCCTTTTATGAGAAAGAATACATCCCATTCCGCGATGTTGAACATTGCAGAATCGATTCCGCCCTAGCAATCAATTCCATCGATTCCCAAACTGAATCAAATCCCAATCACATTCGATTCCGAAATCGACTCTACCAATTCTTGGGAATTTCGGAAGCGAATCTAACAATTCCTAAGAATTCCTAGCGATTCCGGAATCGCAAAATTAATTGTTAATCCAGAACTGCTTGCCATTCCGGAATTGCAAGGAAGCAATTTCAACATGTTTGCGAATTGTCTTTGACTCGTGAAGTGAATGTGAAGTGTTGATCATAATAGACGCTCAACAATTTCAGTTCGTTCAATTTGTTCTGCTCCAACAATGTGGTCACTTTCAACTGATTCATCACCCGCATAGCACTCTCGAAGGTATTTTCAACTATCGTCTGAATTTTTGCCCTTGATAGTTTCAGAAAACTTGCATCCTTGTGCGATGCACTTTGTTGTTTTACTTTTGTTCTATGATGTTGGGGGAATAAAATTGTCGGAGATGAACCATCATTCGGTTTTAATCGCTCGCGTTATTGATGAATGTTGTTTTGGAAATAACAACGACGCTAACCCTTAGCAGATAGAAAAATTTATCTAACTATCATTCGCAGTAAATTGAGCAATAGAAAAGCCGTGTATGTCCTCCTTTAAGTAACAGAAAGCGGTTTTTTTTCTATATGTGTATGCATCCTGCAACGAAGAATAGATCACACTCATTTCCTGTTCAACACTTCTCATCCTCAAATATTTTCTCTATAGCATTCCAGTTATAGTTCAGGTGGCAGAAAATTTATTATTTTTATTTGTCTCGTCACTTTTACGAATAAATAATCGTGATACTCAAAGAAATACGCCGTTGTGTCACACTGGATGTTTCGAGGCTTAATTGGACTTGAACGGAACTTGACCAGACTTTAGCATACTTCAGAGGACTTGACGGGACTTTGGCGGACTTTGGGAATTTAGAAGATCTGAGAGGACTTTAAAGTCCGCTCAAGTCTATAAAGTCCACAGTTTCCCCCTTGCTATAAACACACCTTTTATAGGTTTTCGAATATCTTCTTGCCAATAGTGAGATTTTCGAAATCCTAAAATAACTTTTTGTGGTTTTTCTGAAGGCCGGATCTCTAAACAAATCAGAAAAAATTATTTTAGGATTTTGAAAATCTCACCATTGGAAAGAGCATATTCGAAAATCTATTGAAAGTGTGTTTATAGGCTTATCTACCACTTCTACAACATATGGCCATGTGCCTAATCAAATGGCCATGTTACTTACTGTAAAATAAAAAATTGCCTATTGAGGTAGGTATATCGTCAAGTACATTCACTAGAGAGTGTACTTGGTTTGTTAACATATTCATCGAACCATCACCTCTTTCTTCTCTATTGTTCATTTTTGTTCTGTTTTTATTCTTTCAACTATATACATGTAACATCATCACACTAAACAGCTTTTCTTTTAACCAAATCTTTCCTTATTCTATGATGACGGGGAAAGACCACAAAAAAATAGATGCTAAAAGCGAATAGAGTCTATATTTTGTAGTTAGGATCACAATCGAACAAAGGAAACAAGCTGCTCTAAGTAATTCTCATTTCGTTCGTTTTTATACTATCTTTTCATTTTCTGCCTTTTACTGCAGTAAGTTGTAAAAATATTATATTCTGAACTTTTATGGTTCAAATTATATAAATTAGTCAAAACTTTGTCTGGTTTATATAGTTTAGCATCAGCTGACGATATTTGCAAGCGAGTGGCAGCGACAGGATTAGCAAGAGTCATGCTAGCAGCAACTAACCTGAACTAGCTTGATTGATAGCATACGATCTACTCTTCAGCATATTACCTTGTACTCGTAATGCACAGTACCGTAAAATTCTGCTTAAAGGTAGCAGTTTAGTATTTTTATTTTAAAAGAAGACCTTGAAATAAACTTCAACTTTTTACATTTTGTATATAGGCGTCCACCTAAGCTTGCCTTGTGTGTTTTGCTTTTTTTTATTTTGCAATAAGCTGTAATAAAATCCGAAATATACTTGCAATGCTATATTTCAAAATTTTTGACAAACATCATATGGTAGTGATGTATGTGTGCACATCACTACCAGTGATGTGCCATGATCTACGGTGCCAGTGATAAAGTCTAAGCTCATTTGTCCTGCTTTCCCTAAATTACACTCCCCAAGAAAGTACTTCGAGACTTCCGGGAAGTTCAATGAATTGGGGAGCCTCGGGAACTTTGAGGGGGAGAGTCGAGTATGGTTCTCTTTGCCATTGCTGTTTGCTTATTTGATCTTTGCTGCCTACACTTCTTGTTTTTAGTCTAGTTTATTCTACAATGTCAGTTTCCAGCAATCGTGGACGTTTTAGTGAAGACGGTGTATTGCCGCATCTACTTCTTAAGAGCACTAAAATCGTTTCTACCCTTGGCCCATCATCCGACAACGAAACGGTTATGAAACAGTTGATTGAACATGGTGTCGACGTTTTTCGGCTCAATTTCTCGCATGGTACACAAACAGAAAAAGCTAGAACCATCGAATTAATTCGTTCTATTTCCAGTTCATTACATCGTCATGTGGCCATCATAGCGGATTTACAGGGTCCCAAACATCGTTTAGGAGAATTAGAAAACCATGAATCAATAACATTGAAAAATGAACAAACAATCAAATTTGTATCTGGTGAAATACAACCAATTGGAAATAGTTCCGCCATCTCAACAGGCACTCCACATGCACATATACTAATCAAACATTTGTGCGTAGGACATCGCGTTTTAATTAATGACGGTGCAATTGTCTTAAAAGTGGAACAACGCTTATCAGAAAAAGAATTATTATGTCGTGTAATAGTTGGTGGCACTGTCGGTGAAAGGAAAGGTGTTAATGTGCCTGATTTACACATTCCAACTGATGCATTAACAGACAAAGATGAAGAAGATGCTATATTTGCATTAGAAAAAGATGTTGAATATATAGCCTTGAGTTTTGTACAAGAACCTGCTGACGTTATCAAATTACGTAATTTATTACAAAAAAACTTGCCATCTACTGATCAACAGTTACCAAAAATAATAGCTAAAATTGAAAAACCACAAGCTATTGATGTAATTGATGATATCATTATTGTTGTTGACGGTATAATGGTTGCAAGAGGTGATTTAGGTGTAGAATGTAGTTTTGAAAAAGTGCCAACATTTCAAAAAATGTTAATCCATAAATGCAATTTAGCTGGAAAGCCTGTAATCACAGCAACTCAAATGTTGGAATCAATGATAAATAATCCGTTTCCCACAAGGGCTGAAGCAAATGATGTGGCTAATGCTGTTTATGATCATACTGATGCTGTTATGTTAAGTGGTGAAACAGCTAGTGGTAAATATCCAGTTGAAACTGTAGAAGCAATGCGTGCAATTGTTGTTGAAGCTGAAAAAAATATTCAAAACCGTGAAATTAAATCGCCACAACCCTTCGATTATGCTATTGTTAAATCGGCTGTTGCCGCTACTCATGGTGTACATGCTGCTGCTCTTATTCTAATTTGTGTTTCATATGATTTAGGTTTATATATCTCTAAATTACGTCCACCATGTCCTATCGTTATAGTTACTTTTACATCAAAATTAGCACAATTCTTCGAATTAAATTATGGCATACATACTATTGTATTGAATGACAGTCTTGACAAAGAAACAACCACAGATAGTTTATTGATGACAATAGAAGAAGAACTTGAAAATAGAAAATGGCTGAAACAAGGCGATCATTTTGTATCTTGTTGTGGAGAGGCAGGACTACCTGGTATAAGAAATACGCTAAAATTAGGTAGATTAGGCGAGCTTCGTGTAACATATAAAAAACGTGTAGGTTGGAAGACATTAATGGAACGAGCACTTATTAAAGAACGGAAGTAAAATGACAGAATCAGAAGTTCGACATGTTCATTTTGATCGTAAATAATTATAAATGCCACTGCTTTTAAGAGAGGCTTCACGAGCCCATCGAGAATTGTAGTGGAATGCTCGAAATTAACATACATGTTTTTTCATATTTTTGGATTCTACGA